ATATATATTAAAGCTATGATCCACTTTGTTCTTAGCTGCATTCAGACTAGCCAGACTAGCTTCAGATTAGCTTGTCAGTTCAGTCAGACTTAAACTGATGCCATTCAAAATGCTAATTTATGATATTACTGTTTTGCAACCCTTCTACAGAACCATATTTTGGCTTTTTTAAATAGTGCCATTTAGGCTCCTTTACTTGTATTCCTCCAAATGTTTCTTTCAAACTTAAACTTTTCTCAAATGGGAGGGAAAAATCAAGTACCAAACAGGTAAGACTTTTGAGGTACTTTAAATAATTCCTGTATTAATTAGCGCAAGAACATTTCAAGCTCAGGGCTACTAAACACCATAAAACTGTAAAGAATTTTCCTTTATCAAACAATCAATCCAGCTGCCTCCACTTTCTTTCACTTTATGTCCTGAATCAGTCTGAGTTCAGCGTGAGGACTTGAATAATCATGACATGCATGTGAGGAAGATGATTGTTAGTAAATGTGTGTGGTTGAGTCAGATGGGTGAGGGCAGTGAGGAGGACCACCACAGGAAGCACAAATGTGACCAAGATGGGGGGRAAACAATAATAATATGATGCAAGGACAAGGAGCAAGTGATTCCAGCACTTAGTTCCAGCTCACCAATTCTCCTCCAGATTGACAGCTCGGACATTTTTACTGAATAAAAATTGATGTTCGGATTGGTTTTAATCTTTGGAATTTGCTATTAAAGGCTCCAAATTTATGTTTTTACAATTTGCAACTTATAGTTTTGGTTTGCAAAATCTCTGAGCTGTCATTCCACAGTAAAGAAAAAAGTATGTGAAGCCACCAGACAACTCACAAACCCCCTAATAAAAAATGCAGTTTGTTTTTAATAAAATACTGAAGAAAGACACCAATTAATGCCTACAGCATCTTCCACAGAGGTTGTGTTTGTCTCAGCGGCATCCCAGATCATTTGAAAAGAACAAACCAGTCGAGGTTCATGTGATCTTTTTATCATTCAGGATACAGAAACAGTTCATTGAGTCGACGACCAGAGTGTGGTGTTAAACAGAAGAGAGAAGAGGATGGAGGAAGTGCAGGTTATTAAGTCACCACCAAAGTGTCAACATGCACCGTGTTACCGAGTGTCCAGGAAATTCAAGTTCCACACAAACAGACATGCACAAACGTGAACACGCACATTCCTAAAACCCTGCTAATGTAATTTAACCTTCATGTTTTGATGTGCTAATCTAGAGCAATAAAAAGAAGCATTCACAAAAGAAAAATTTAATAAAATGTATTTGTCCTGAGGGATGTAAAAAATAATAATAAAAACTCTGACCTAACATGTTTAGAACCTCAAAGATGAAAATGCTGAAACAATGTGAAATTTGAATTTGTCTCCTGCAACACACTCCTAAAATGTTGTGGCAATAAAGTTTTTTAAAGTTATTATTTAGCAATTTGTTCTACCATTTCTTCTCTTTCATAACAAATGATAATGCACTGCAAAGTATGTTTTGTGTCTCCTTTGCACACATATTAAGTTCTGTTGTACAGCATTAACTTTACATGCAGGATACTGATTGATTTTTATTTCTTTTTCGTTTCCACACAATACTGCTGCATTACCTCACAATACTTTTGGTGTTTGCCTGCCAGATTATTAACAAATTCACACGCTCACCGTTATACAGGAGTTAGCCTTCTACTTTAATTCAGCTTCAGACTGAACAAATCACACCCACACATTGACTTATATGTAGCTAATATGCAGATATTTTAACGTAACATCACCTTCAAGTTCGGGAACTTGTGGCAACACTTCGTGTTTCGGGTAACCGAATATTTCAATTTAAAAGTCTAATTTAATCCAGTTTAGACAAAACAATAAACTGCGTGGAAATGCAAAATATTAGGCCTCATGCAAGAACCGTTCATACGCACAGATTTGTTCTTAAGTTGTGCGTACGAGTGATTTAGGAGAATTTGTGGCATTCACCAATGTTTTCG